TTTTGTGTTTTGCCTCAGTTTGAGTGGGTCAGATGGTGGAACTGTTTGAGGCGGTGCCAGCAGCATATCTTCCGGATTTGGCCGGAAGGAGACGTGCCGAACTCGGCTGCAACAAGACATACAGCAGTCTATGCAGGTGTGTGTGGAAGCTACGCACAGTATTCTCTGCATCTGACTTTGTGTGGATCTTCGTCTCACTAAGTGTGGTTTCTCTCAGGTGGCCTGCTTTACTTGGACTGGATCTTCTATGAATGGATTGGGATGCCGGAGCAGTGATGCTGATCTGTCGTCTTGGTCATCAAGGGAAATGTGAGTCATCTCTGACTCACACTGTGAATGTCATTTAAAATGGTGTTTGTGTATGTTGTGTGTGTGTTTGTGTGTATATATATATATATATATATATATATATATATATATACTCATTGATACCCACTTTAACACCTGTATGTTTTTCTGTTTCAGAAAAGACATGATCCTATTCATGTACTCTCTGTCCTGCAAAGGTTGTTCAAATCACTGTGTGAGTAATAATACGACTTTTTTGAATATCAAATAATTTATTTTCCTCTTAACATGGTTGGAAAAACTTGCTTACTTACTACTATCTAACTAACTTGATTCTTACTTAGCTGCATATAACAAACAACAATTTATTTTATGTTCTCCACAGACTTCACTAGGTGGAGCTATTTGCCCATAGGAAAACGAGTTTCAGGTTCACAAATAAGGAAACTGAAACTACCATAAGTCTCATAATGTTTGTTTTTATTCAAAGCATATGTAGAGAGGACTCAGCTGATCAGAGCCAAAGTGCCGATCCTCAGGTTCAGAGAGAAGGGCAGGTAGGAACAAAGCAGTCGTAGCAGCCTGTTGTTACAACATCATCAAAGTCAGAAAGACATTTAATATGAACATTCTATTACTCCTACCCTCTTTAGTGATTTGGAGTTTGATCTGAATATCAACAACACAGTGGGCATCAGAAACACATTCCTCCTGAGGAGTTATGCCTTTGGTGGGTGAGAAATTGCTCTGTCTAATTTTAAGTCAGCTGACTGATCACTCTACACATGTCCAAGTGCAAGCAGTGCATTTGTTACTTGAAAGGAAGACGATAAAGTTTCTTGTTTTGACCTGCTAAGTTTGTTTGGTCTCCCACAGCTGATCTCAGGATAAGACCCATGATCCTTGTTGTCAAGAAATGGGCACGACACAATCAAATCAATGATGCCAGCAAAGGAACGTTGAGCAGCTACACACTGGTGCTGATGGTGCTGCACTACCTCCAGAGTCAGTACAATGTCACACACACACACATTCTCATTTATACTTTTGATTTATTGTGAACCTCATCTTGTATTTGTTGTTTTCTTTACAGCTCTTAATGAACCGGTCCTACCCTCTCTACAGAGGGACTATCCAGTAAGTGTCTTCATTGTTTGCTTTTTTTTGCAGCAAGAGGGGCAACTGGAAACTTATGATTACGTATGATGAAAAGACAAATTAAAAGAAATATAAAAAGTACAAAGCATTGCAGACTCTCCATTCTTATCCTCTTTTTGTAAAAAAACATTTTGGCCGGACCTTAGAGGTCCAGTGTGTATGATTTATCTAGCACTGTAGTTGTAGATCGCAACTCTGTAATTGACCCTGCCCTTTCAAGGAAAAACTATGGTGGCCCTGAAAAATGAAAATGACCTTACCCGGAGAAGGTGTATATTCAGTTGGATGCATATTCTATTCAATTTCTGCCAACAAATCCTTCTAAATGTTACACACTGAACCTTTAACTTTGCTTTATCAGTCACAAAGAAAATCGATTATTTTAAGCCTTTGTTCCTTTGTCCTGTGCCTTGATTTTCAGGAGTGGTTTAATCCCTTTATGGACATTGACATGGTTCCAGAGGGACCCAAACATGTCCCCCCCTACATCTCAAGAAACCAGTCCTCACTGGGAGAGCTGCTTCTGGGCTTTCTCAAATACTATGCCACACACTTCAGGTATCTCCCAAGGACATCACATTACGAAGTCTAGTGTTTCAGATGCACCCATGGTTCTTTTGCCTGCTCATTTTCTAGCTTACAATCCACCTTTTTTGCTCCTCTGGCCAACTTCTTCTCCCCCTCCAGTCTCTCTTCTCCTCCCTCTATCTTGCATCCTCTTCTCTGGTTTCATGTTTCTGTGTGAATGGCAGGAGCAGGTGGGACCTTTGGCCTTACACAGCACTAACATGACATACCATGATCCCTGTGTTTGCAGTATGTGTGTTACTTTGCCACACAACGAATGGTTGAAATAAAACTCACCATGCAAACAGGCACGGATTTTTGCATTTTACAGTATTAATCTCTCAGACAGGTCTAGGGTTGCAGTGGTATCCAAATATATGGATATGAAAATTGACAGTTATTATACCATGTGTATATATTTGCTTATGCAAGGTATTGATTTCGACAGTATTCATTATTTTAAAATAAAATGGGATATAATATCTTGTGAAATTATGAAAAAGCATTTGCTCAGCCAAAAAAAGTGGTGGTTGTAGTGGAGAGTATTGCAACCATTTAAATAGAGCTCAGTCTTCAAAGTGTGTAGGAGTGTAAACAGGGAGAGAGGGAGATGAAAACACTAATGCAAACATACCTATGTATGATATTCAGTTTTTGCCAATAGATCCTCCTCAATGTTACTCAGTTGTCTTTTAAAGGCAATTGTTACTGCTGATAATTATAATAATAATTGTGTAATACTGTGAAATTGTGATATTTTCCGAGAACGTTATCATCGTGCCATGACAATCTCATACCGTTGTAACCCCTAAATAGGTCACACATGTTGAGTAATTTTTGCATTTTGTTTATCCTTAGTGTACAAATTGTATGTGCTTTACTGCTGACATTTTCAAAAGTTTTTAAATTTTTCTTACCTTCTTGACAGCTGTTTGCCTCAATCAACTCAAGTCAATAAACTATAAAATTGAACTTGCAAAGACTGAAATCTCTTACAAAGAACATTTCCTTTTTTTCTTTTTGCAAAAACATGTCCATGTACCTTTTTTAAATGTAATACATTCAATGAAACATTTAAGATTTAAGAGCTGAAAGACAGATAATGGTGTGATGGTTAATATGTCAACTCAAGTTGACATATTAACAGATGCATTTACATTTTCCAAGAAGAATGAGTTTGCTAAATTATCACATGACACTATTGTATCTTTTGACAAAAAATAAGAATATTTCTTGTTTGCGTTATCTTTCCTAAACAAGTTTCAGTTAGGTTCGTTTTTATACTGCACTTTGGCAGCTAAGTGTGCATATTTTGTAGTCGATTAGCCACTGAGGACCTTGGTCATTGTTTTATTTTTAGTCCTAACAAGATGGAATAACTCCATTACTTTTTGTTTTTTCTGTGTTTTGCAGGTGGGATAAGCAGGTGATCTCTGTTCGAGAGGCCAGAGCTTTGCCTAAGAACAATTCCCAAGAGTGGAGAAACAAATACATATGTGTGGAAGGTAAACATTCCAGTGGACATAATATTCCACTGCCACCACCACTTAACAATACCTGGGAGTGTACATATTCAGTGAGTGACAGCAATTTCGTGTGTTTCAGAGCCATTTGAAAGAAATAACGTCGCCAGAGCAGTCCATGAGAAGATCAAGTTTGATGCCATTAAAGCTCAGTTTGCTGAGGTACATGCCAGCCATGATAACTATGCTCCCTTCATATTTTCTTTCTTCCTCCAAGCCGCTGTGGGCTATCCATGAGTTATTCATAATCCTCCTGCTTCTCATCTCTCTGTGTCTGTGCAGTCAAGTCGGATACTACAACAGAGGAAGGACCTGAACTCGATCCTCCCAGTCAGAGCCATCATTACGAAGGAGTCATCCAGGAGATAAGGGATTCCTCTAATTAGAAGAGCTGACGGGAGTCTTCTACCTCAAGACAGGCCTGTCCCCAGAAACGAAGAGCGACCTTTGGGGTTTGCTGAGAGAGAAGTCTTGCTGCCTCTGCACTTCACAGCCAGAAAGACTGCAGGACTCTGAATGCTCTGGCTGCATAGGTATCAGCCACATACTGTATGTCCCGCAGCAGTACGTATTGAAAATACTGCACTTACTTTCAAATGCTTTGCAGACTTTGCCAATCTTTTGTAATTATTTCAACTGATAATGAAAAAAGGCATTATTTGTGTAGTGACACCAGAGGAATCTGAAATTAAAATCTTAAAGTCACATAAACTGGTAACAGAGAGATGCTGCACTGAAGCAGGATAATAATGGTCAGTATTATTAGAGATGGTTATTGCTGCTCCTTCCCAGGGCAAATAGCATTCCTAGTAAGAAGTTAAGTATACTGACAAAGTATGAAAAGACAAAATAATACCTGTGACCTGCTCATTTGTGAAGCTGGCCTAAATGGAAGCAACAGTGTTTAGGTTGGAAAGGTCTCAACCAAGTTGATGTCGTCTAATCTGTTTTAGTTATATCGATACTGCACAGAGTCTGCTTTGAAGGTATCCATAGGTTTCTGTTTCTGCCACACACACACACACATATATACAGTATAGTATATATATATACTTATATATATAGTATATACTATTATATATATATATATATATTATATATATATATATATAGAGGATATTGTCCGCAGCCTGCCTGGACCAACTTGTAACATAAAAGCCTTTTTTCTATTTTTCTAGGTCAGTAGTGAAGCTATTATGGGTTTAAACACCATAGACACCTTTTTCTACAGCTGCATTAAGAGCCCTCTCCTTTTTCATCATCACCATTGTTATATTTCTAAGCCTCTCTGAAAAGTGAACTTGTTATTAAGTGATAAATGACTCAGAAGTTATCATTGGAGGGCTGGACTGGAGATATCCCCACTCTTGTGTCATTGTTACTGATGTGTTGTATTATTTCCCTACACTGGTGTCAGGCCTATTTTAGTTCACTATATACTTGATTAATTTGGACAAAAGCGGATGTGTTATTCAGTCATTTTCGGTTCACTTAATACATAACTTATTTGAAGAAGTTACACTTCAGTGGGAAGTTTTGTTTTTTTTCTTTTCTTTTTGGTTTATATTTTTCCTCAGATCTTTTTGTACAGTTTGTACATTACTGACTTTTAAATGTTAATTTAAAAAACATTAAATCTTTGAAGATGTATGATTGTTTTCACTTTATATTTTTCAGCTCTGTGTGAAGCCCACCTTCTTGGCTATGCTAATAGAAGTGCCAAAATCATATTAAATTGTACACTGGCTTCTTTTTTTGTTCATGTTCAGATGTGTTGAGTATTTGATAAAATAAGGGTTGGTGGCATTCTCAATTTTACATTTTAAGGTAATTTCTCATGGAAAACGGTCCATTCTGGGATATGGGATGTTAACATGACTCAACAATAAACACTTGCTAATCCATCACACAATAATATATTTGATCACTGTGCAGTTAAAGATCAGAGATTTTATCCACAGGAACTAAAATATATCTGCTCCATGCCACCTCAGGTGTAATTCTTTTCCTACAGGTAATGCAGCTTATCCACTGTCATCACAGTCAAACATCATTGAATACATTACAGGTGCTTGTGATTCATAGACCTTAATAATTATAAAGCAATGGATTACTGCTGGATATCTGCACCTTTTATTCAAGTGTTCTCTACAGCCTCCTCTGGCAGCTGTGTTGATTGTTTTTTGTTCTGTGGTTTGACACCTTATTACACTTAGTTTTATGACTTCTGTATAGTGCCAGTAGTGCTATGATTTAGATACCTTGCAAGATAGGTATACTTGCGTGTGTGTGCATGGCCCTGTTTAGTGTGGCCACAAGCAGCAGGGGGACCGGGGGGTACTATTTCAGCACATGGCCTATATTTAACTTAGCAAGGGGGATTTTGATCTTAAAGTCACACAGGCTCATTCCGTTGTTAGCTACCGGTACAGAACAAGATAATGATGGTTTCCCCAAATCTATAACAATCTTTTTATAAGTTCAAAATCTAACTTCTTATGTCAGTTCCTCTTTGTTGTTAGTGTGCTTAACCTAAGACTCTGTGAGATACCCTCTGTCACTGCTTTGTCCCTCTCTGTCTCCACTCCCCTCTTTTCATTCCCCACTCAGTCTATTTCTGTCCCCCGCTGAGTCAGATGGACAGCTCCCAACTTAGAATGACACAAACAGGCGGACCAACTCGTCCGAAATCAGAGTGGCTGAAAACATCAAGAGGACTCTAAAATACACAGAAAAGAAACAACATTGAGAAACTACAAATAATAGAGCGGGAGGATATTACCAAGATGGAGGAGTGTGCGAGTCTGGACTCGGAGATGACAGAGCTGCAGGAGTTTCAGTGTGAGGCTTCAGAGGCCATCAGCCAGGACGATGAAGACGAGGTGGAGGAACTAAGAAACAGGTGCTTTAAACACTGGAGCTTACAAGCTGAATAACCTCAATTGTGTCTGACTTTATCTCTGTATAAAGTGGTATCTTTTCTACTGGGACATTTTACCATGAAACTTTTTGTATTTAGTGCTTTAAAGATAAGTTGTGTCTCATCTCTGGAGAGTGTGACTGGTGTATCCAATTGACACGAAGTAGCACTCCATTACTTTGATTTAATAAATTAAATGGTCATCTGTTCTTCAGTTTATACAAGGAATTGTCAGTGTGGCACTGCAAGCAGCTCTATTCTAATATTTGATATTATTCACCATGCCATATTTTACATCTTATTTATCATGTTTCATGATGGGTTCTCTAGCTATCATTGCCATGTCATAAATAGTAGAAGACACTGATATGTTGAATGTATCTGGGAAGGCCAGGCATCTCTTCTCTAATATTACATGTATGACGGTTTGGGACTTCACCTTGTAACCCTGCAGTAGCCCAGCTGTATTCATAGCGAGAGGGACAGCTCAGAGCACATTTCATCATTATTTTTTCAGGTCATCTCTCACATTGGCAGCCTGGCACCAGGCACTTGTTCTAATGCTGGAGATCTACACTTCTCAAGTTTGCATCTTGAGAATAGATCAGCAGGTGTTATCATGTTTTCAGCTTAGATTTGCTAAGTTGCTTCAGGTGCAAAATGTGAATGTGGTTTCAATGCTTACTCTGATATGTTTTGATTTGATTCATTAGTTTGGTCTCTACTTGCATTTCCACGGGTTGTGCCAATAGCATCTCCTCTTGCAGTGAGACTGTTTAGTCATGCCCTTCCTCTCCTCGTGAAAAGCACAAACAGCCGGCTTTCCTTCCCCTAACTCTGTCTATTCCTTATCCTCCAGTCTGCGAGAGGTTGTCCAGGACCAGTCTGTGAACCCCAGACTCCAGTGCCTGATGGTGGATCCATCGTTCTCCATGGTAACTGTTCAGAGCGAGGACAGTGGTATTGTTTGGGAGACTGCCTCTAGCCGCTGCTCTACCCCTTGGGCCTCTGAGACTAGCTCCATCTCTGAAGCCTACAGCATGGAGGGGTCTGGAGCCGCAGGAAAGATCACCATCGTATTTGATGAGGAGCAAATAGTCCGCAGGAGGACAAGGTCTGGAGGAAGGAGCAGCAGGCTGGGGGACAGGCTGAGCCGACCTGGTAGTTCAAGATCAGCTTCAGCTCTTGGAGTGGAGAGACTGGAGATGGCAGAGGTTTCTCTTCCCAATGTCAAAAAGGAGAAAACCGAAACAGAGCCGGACTTGGAGGAAATCAAAAACAAAGATCAGCAGCTGTTTAGTTTGATTTCAGAGGGTTATGAGATTCTCAACATCAGAGTCCCCTCCAAACTTCCCACTGTGGATGAGGAAGAGAGCACAGAGCTCCAGGACAATTTGTCTTATTTGGACCAGACTCCAAAGATCAAATCCCGAAACCACCGTGACTGGACACGACAACAGAATCATGTCCAGCCAGAGGAGGGGGAAATACTGGATCACCAAGAGGTATTTACTGATTTATCTGATTGGTTTGAGTGGTTTTGATAATGAGATATTTACACATTTTTTTCATATATATCTTTATTGGGTTATCAAGACACAACAACCCTCCCCCCCCCAAAAAAAAAACAAAAAAAAAACAGGAGGGGTGAACAGTAGCCAAACCAACAAAAAACTAAAAGTAAAAAGGGACATTTAGAGGAGGGATCCAAAATGCTTGGAAAAAAGAAACAAAAATGAACTATAACAATTTATATATGTTGTGCCTGGAGACCACCATATCATCGCACAAAAGACAATTACTGGCCTCTTTCAGAATCCTGACTAGGGAAAAAAATAAAAAAAAATAAAAAGTTACATCAGTTTATCTTAATTAGAACCATCTATCTTAATCATCTAGGGAGGGAATGGAATTGATTAAGGAAAGAATGGGATTCCAAGTTTTATAACATTTGTCGAAGCACCCCCTAATACTGTAGAAATGACATTAGATCCTTTAACCAAGAGTTAGGGGAGGGAGGATTCTTATTCTTCCAATGAAGTAAAATAGGTCTGCGGGCTACCAGAGATGTGAAAGCGATAGAGTTGCTTTCCCTGTTGGTGAAGTGTGTGAATTCTTCAGACACACCAAAGATGGAGGTTAAAGGACTCCAAAGCACTGGTTTGTTTAGAGCTTTTGAAAAAGTATTGTAGAAAGAGGACCAGAATGAGCTTAATCTCGGACAGGAAAAAAACGTGTGTATGACTGGCTGATGACAGAGAGCATCTGTCACATGTATCACTTGCTAGCTTTGGAAAAATTTATCCTGTGCAGTACCTTGAACTGAATTAATGTCAGACTGGCACAAGATGAGGTGGAGTTAACCCTGTCAAGGGCCCTTTGCCACCATTCGTCTGAGATGAATGAGCTTGTGGGAGGGCAAATTTAGTTCGGAAGTTCTCAAAGGAGATAAAAATGTCCTTATCAAAAAGTTGATCAAAATTCACCAGCC